ATAATATAAAACATGTTAAAAAAGTAAAGGGTTAAAAGTTAAAATATAAAAAAGTTAGGGTTAAAAGTTAAAATATTAAAAGGTTAAAAATGAAAATATTTAACTTTTGTCTTTTTGTTGTCTTTTGTCTTTTTGTTGTCTTTTGTCTTTAGTGTAGGAGGGGGTGGGGATTTTGGGGTAGCAGGGGGTGAGGTTAGAATACCCCATTATAAATGAATGGACCTATTGAGTTTGATTGTTGGGTTACGATAACACATGCAACAAGATTTAGGGTGTGTTTAGTACACTGGACAGAGACATGACAAAACATGACAGAGATCTATGTCCCATGTTTTGCATGGATTTTATGTGGAATAGACAGGAACAGAGTGGAACAAAGTGAAACATGTATGTTCCACCCCTACCCCATGAAACAAGGTGGAATAGATTTATATTTTACTAATATAACATCAAAATAAAGCTTAATTCTATCCTAAAATATCAAATAGGTCTTTTTTGACATTTTATTCATTTTTTTAAATTTTATTTATTATATTTTATGTTTCTTAAATTTTCATTTTACTGTTCTTAATATATTATTTTTATATGGAACTATATTTTTATTAATTTATGTAATTTATTATATATTAATAATAAAAAAATAATGTAGAAAAGAGATCAAAATAAAAATAGAAAACTAAATAAACTTTTTATTTGGTGTCATTTTAATTGTTTTGACAAAAACTTGAAATGATATATTTTGTTATAAACAATAATTATTCTATTATAATTTAATAAATTACATAAATTAATTAAAATAAACAACTCATCAGGGGTAAATTGGTCATTTTGCTTGTTCTGTTCTGTCCAGTTTTATCTTACCAAATGTTGAACATTTGTTCTATCCTGTCATGTTTTGTCATGTTTTGTCATGTCTTGTCATGTCCTGTCCTGTACTGACACCAAACACACCTTTAAAGAACCAATCAAGGAACCAACCAAAACGAATTATAGTTTAAGATTAAAATGCATCCTTAATGACATAAACTTTGACGATGTCTCTGATTCTAACGACATCCAACATTTCGTCATCTCTATGGCACCCATGTGAACCACATGAATTCTTTCTTGCCGTGCGTGAATGATGAGATGCCTCTTATTTTATCGTGTTGCTAGATATAGAAAACAACTGGTTTATGTTAGAGGGTTTGGAGAAAATGGGTTTCTCAAACTCGGGTTTCAAAAAACCCGGTTCACGGTTCTAAATTGTAACGAAACCAGATATTCTTATTAATAACTTGAATTAACGTTGTTTTGTACTTATAGTTTTTAAAAACAAATGTTTGTATCTGGTTCACAACAAAACCACATTGAACCAGTTAAAATCGAACTGATTTTTCAATTTTGCTATTTTGAATTTTCCATTTTGATTTGGCTCCAACTCTATATGATTCTTTGGTCAAACCCCTTTCAAACCTCGGTCAAAACTCATGAAAAATATCCGTTAGATTGAGTCTACCGGGGATTTCCGGCCCCAGCCCCAATCCCAGTTTGAGTAACAGCCCTCGCCGCGGTTTGAGTCTACCGAGGATCCCTGTCCGGGACCCGTTTTAGCGGGTTCGAGTCGGGTGAACCGGGTTCCCCACTTGATTAGGGCTAATCATCATCCTTAAATTTTCTTCTGACACGTATCTAGCGAGGGAATTGGGGATCTCAGAAGAAAAACCATCTGCTTTGAAGAACATTTTTTTTCTTTATATTAAGTTGATTTAATTTTTGATCTGTTAGATTTTTTTATCATACTGTTACAAAATTAAAAGATGTTCCATTACGTTTTGGAATTGATTTATTGATATTTTACTTACACTGAAGTTAATAACTCGTAATAAAATTTGTTAACACCGAATAAAA